TCTTGTTTGCTTGCACGTGGAATACAATGCCCAATTTGGGGGTCTCCAGTAGAACAGTCCTGATATGGAAAATTCCTGATGAATCGGAGTGAGTTCTGCGGAGTGCACTAAAATGTTCATGGTGCTGGAGCTCTCGCTATGTGAGAGAGGCTGTGGGCCCTAGGACTTTTCAAGCTGGAATAATGGGCAGCCTGCCAATACTGACAAGGAACTTGCTGAAAAGACAGAGGCAGGATTTGTATTGAGAGAAGGACAGAAAATTTCACCTGGAGGATAGTCAGGTCCAGAGAAGCTATGGAAACTCTCTCCATAGAGGCTTGAGTGGAAAAACACTCAAGCAACTCGAATTTAAGAGTAGCCCTGCTCTGAGCAGGATATTGTCCTAGATATCATCAAGAGGTCCCTTCCAACCTTAATATTTCTATGATTATATGAAAAAATATAAAGTAGTATTTAATTTCAGGGTTTATTTCCCCTCAGGCAGGGCTGTTCTCAGTAACAAAAGTAACCATGAGTTCATGGTCTGAATTTTCAAGGTTTGTAGAGGCAGAACGAGAGAATCACTTAGTTTGGAAAAGACTTTTAAAATCCCTCCAAACCATTAACCCAGCACTACCAAGTTCCCCCACTAAACCATGTCCCCAAATGCCACATCTGCATGACTTTTAAATATCTCCAGAGATGGTGACAACTGAATATCTGTCAGGAGCATAACATAGGCTAATTGTTACTGTAGGTGGTCGCAAGTCTGGCAAACAGATATTTCACTGAATGCAAGCACAAGTCTCCTACACAGGACCTGGATCCACAGGACTGATGTATGTTGGTTAGTAGCTTGCACTCCAGCGAGATTCTAGGATGCTTTTTTAGATCAATTTTATAGTAAAATATAGTTGAGCGGAAAAAAACCCCAACACATTGCTTTACATAGGAGACTGTAGAATCAGCACTTTACTTATCTGTATTAAGTAAACTGCTTTTTTAAGTGCTGCCACTATTCAGCTTACTCATCTGCACATAAAAATTGCCAGGTTTCTGAAAAATACTCAGAGTGTGCAAGTATGACAATTAGTTTTTCTTTACGTACAGTAAGGAAAAAGTGCCCCACATTATTGTCTTGCCTGCAGCTTTCCCTGGACTAAACAAAAAATGGAAGATGTATAGCACTTACCAGGACTGCACTTTTTCAGTCAATACCAAGCTGGGAACACCTCAGTCACCACTAAAGAATGTTTCTATGGGGATATGGGAAAATTTTAGCAGGTAGCTACAGTTTCATTAAAAGCTTTCTGAAAAGCAAAAGTATGTTCAAATTAGGCAAATTAATAAGTGGAATAAGTGGAGCAGACACTCTAATGGCATGGGGAGAGTGTTGTAGGTTATCTACTTATAAAATACAAAGATAAGAAAGCAAAAATATGAAAGTTTACTTTTCTATATTTTTATTCAGTTTTTGAAGATTGCAAAACAAAGAGCTAGTAGCTTGTTGTACATTTTCCAGCTGTAAGCTTTGCTTCACAAACTTTGACTCTTAGCACTAACACCGTGGCCTCAAGCACGCAAACACACACGCCTCCCAAAACCAGCTTTGCTTTCGGTATTGATGCTCCCATGTTGTAGTTGAGATGGTCACAATACAAAGCAACACTCCATTATCAGAAGGCTTCAAACCAGTTTTTATTACACTATGCATGTTTTTTTTATACATTCCTACAAAACTCATAAGTTTACACTTTACTCATTGGTCAGGAAAGACAAACAAAGTGCTTATTGGAATAGACAGTTGCAGATTTATCTTATTTATCCTTCTCTCTTTCTTGGTTTCTATGCCAATGACCTTGGCAGGAAATTCTTTCAGGGGTAAACATGGATCCTCTTATCAAACTTCTCTCTGGCTCACAGAAATCACTGTAAAACTTCTTCCACACTGCCATACCCCAAGTGACAGCATTTACTTATTGTCGCAATCCAGCCTGTTCCCAGACAATCCAGGCTTTCACCTGAAAAACAATTCTCTGAAATACATTCAGAAATGTTTAATGGTGTCAGCCTTCCTTGACTACTGTCCTTTTTGGTCACAGCTTGCTTTGATAACTGTCTCCAACCCACTGCACGTTACCAGTGCTAACAAGGTAACAGTGGCTTTCCTGTGGAGAACTCAGACATGTTTCACAGGTGAGGTGATGCCAGACAAAAAAATGTCAAAAGTTTGTGTGTTCTGGACATATTAGAAATTACACAAACTCAGAACAGAAGGATATGATAAAGCAAACCATGAATGTTGTTAGAGGAAAAAAGAGAAAGAGGAAAGCTCCAAAAAATCCAACTTCAGGAGGATGTGTTAAGCATATATTTTTAAACTGAGTCCTTAGAGAGCATGAGACAAGGGAATGAAAAACAGGCAGTAAGAGATAAGAAATCCTCTCAATTGAAAGGGCCACTGGGGATGGAGACCTGAGAGTCAAGAATACCAGATCTGATTGTGTCTGTCATTTGAAGAGCGGACCACAAATTAAACTTTTCCTTGAAATTATATTACACTGTGACAGATTTTTAAAATGAAGCACAAAAAGTACACAACTTTCCATGAAAGAGAGTTAAAAGTTGACCTTGAAATACCAATATTTATTTCTCATTATAAAAAGAGCCAAAGTGTGCTTTCTGTTTTAAATCTCTCTTGAGCTGGGGACCATACGTCTCAATTGGTAAAATCAAACATTGGTTTCAGTACAAGTACCTGAGGTAGAAACAGAGTGAAAGTGCAGCAGATTTACAGCTACATTCGTTCTGGAAGGCATTCAGTTCAAATGGTATGCAAAACTAAGGAAAGAAACATTCAAGCAAACTTGTAAATATGCTTACAACAGGACCGACAATCTGGAAAAGAAGATATCTTGGTTGTGGTTTTGGCTTCTCAGAGTTTGTCAAATGGTTGTCTTTCCAAATGCTTTATGCAAATGTGAAACACAGCACAGGTCATCAGCAAATTATCTGGATTGTCTGTTCTTGCTTTCCTTCATGATCTCTTTCTTTTCTAAGCAGAGATTGCTTGTCTTCCACACCCTGCAATGTTTCAGCTTGAGATGGACTAATCCCAACCATTAATTATCATGCCGTAATTGGATCCATGTGGAGGAGTTTGGATGTTCATTGCCTCCACAAAAAAAGTGATTAATAACACAAAGAGTACAAAGTTACAGAAGTGTGGATATTGCTATGTCCCCTTCTGATAGGACTGAGGGTAGTGAGCAGGCCAGAGGTACTGTACATGGTGGGTTTGGCCATGCAAGCTTGGTCCCTTATTGTCCCTGAAAGTCCCCAAAGCCAAGCAGTCCGTGACTGAAAGCAGAGATGGGGCTGAGATGGATGAACTTTGTGAGGTGGATGGCATCTTCCAGATTGTTTGATCTCTGCTGGGCTGCCCTGACCTGTTTCTGTTTGGTTGGTGTAGTGAGGTACTGGGCAATGTTCTTGTAAAATTTAGTTGAGTTGCTGGGCAAATAAAATGTAATTTTGCTGCTTCTCTCAATTGCACTTATTTTTTTGTAACATATGTTTAAGTGCTTTATTCAACATACATAATATCCCTAACAACTACATAGCAACATACTGAAAGTCCAACTGTGGGCATCTGACATGAGTCTGATTGAATGATGCCAGCTTGGGAAACAGGAAATATCCAAATTTTCAGGGATCAGTGCTAATGTGTGAATGAAAATTGAGATTTATAATTGAAAATTGAAATTATTTTAGACAATTCCAGAATGTTGTAGCTTCTTTCAGGAGCCCTCACGTTCTGTGATATCTCTAAGTTAGGGGATTTGAGTGCCTACTTATTTACTCAATGTGCTGCATTCTTGACATGAAACTAAGCATTCGTGTATGACTATTAAAAATGCCAAAAGCTGCAAGTAGAAAGATTGCTGTGGCCTTAGTTTAGTTCCAAGCTGCCTGTTCTACAAAATTACCTGACTGACTTTGTGTTGGGTGGGTGACTCTGGCTCTGTCGGCCAAGGAGAGGAATTGGGAAATGCCCAGTTACTGGTCACATACAAGGGCTCTGCTAAACACAACAGTTTTTGTATTACTTCCCAGCTGATCTCAGCAGCCACACAGAGGTTTGTCAGCACTGTGACATCCATCTGTGTCTTGAGTGCTGTGAGCAGCCTGGGACACCACAATATAAGAAAGACATTAAACTATTGGAAAGTGTCTAAAGCAATGCAACCAAGATGGGGAATGAGCAGCTGAGATCACTTGGTCTGTTCAGCCCGGAGCAGAGGAGACTGAAGGGAGAGCTCTTTGCAGCCAGCAACTTCCTCAGGGAGGAAGAAAGGAGCAGGCACTGAGCTCTGCTCTGTGGTGCCAGTGACAGGACTCGAGGGAATGATCTGAGGCTGTGTCAGGGGAGGTTTAGGTTGGATATCAGAAAAAGGTTCTTCACCCCGAGGGTGGTTGGGCACTGGCTCAGGCTGCCCAGGGAAGTGGTCACAGCACCAGCCTGACAGAGCTCAAGAAGTGCTTGGACAACTCTCCCAGGTCCATGGCATGGCTCTTGAGGATGGTCTTGTGCAGGGCCAGGAGCTGGATTCGATGAACCTAATGGATCCCTTCCAACTAAAAATATTCTGTGATTCTCTGATTTTGTCCGTGTTCACAGTCATGGAATTGTCTTAACTATAGCGATGCTAAGAGATGCTCAGAGCAGCAGGACCAACCACGCCTGCCATCGCCAGCCTGGATCGAGCCGGGGACCGGAATATTCAGTATTCACCGTAGCCAGGGCCCCGGGAAGGGACCGAGCGCTGGTGGCGGTAGCTGCGGATGGCGGGCCCCGAGCCCCTCGTGCCCTGCCCAAGAACTACAGCTCCCGGCATGCAGCGCGGCCCGGCCTCCCTTCGCCTGTACTACACCTCCCGGCGTGCGTCTGCGCCCGCAAGGCACGCCGGGACGGCTCCTTCCACGTGGTGCGCTGCCCGCGGCCGGGGAGGTGCCCGCGGTTTGCGACGTTCGTTTGCGGCAGCGCGCGCGGGCGCGGCCCCGAGAGCCCGCCCGGGGACCGGCAGCGGTGCCGCTCCTGGCGCGGGGCGAAGGGAGGGACGGAGGGAGGGAGCGCCGGGGTTGGGGCTCGGAGCGAAGGGAGCAGCCCCGCCGCTGGATGTTCCGCGGGGCGGCGCGGGGGCCTCCTCCTTCTCCTCCTCCTCCTCCTCCTCCTGCTGCTGCTGCTGCCGCCGCCCGGTGTGTGCGGCGGGGCGGGGCGCGGCTGCCGGGGGCGGCGGCGGCGGATCGCGGCGGGCGCCCAAGATGGACTATGACTTCAAGGTGAAGCTGACCGGGGAGCGCGAGCGGGTGGAGGACCTCTTCGAGTACGAGGGCTGCAAGGTGGGCAGGGGCACCTACGGGCACGTCTACAAAGCCAAGCGCAAGGACGGGTGAGTGAGCGAGCGAGCGGCGCCCCGCGGGACCCCCGGCCCCCCGCGCCCTCCTTCCCCCGGCCGCCTCCTGCCCCACGGGCTCGTGTGCCGCTCCCCGCGGTAGTGCCGTTCTCTCTCCGGCCCTGCCTGATCCCCGGCCGGCCGGCGCCTGGTTCCCCCTGGGTCGCTGCGAGCGTCGGCAGCCCCTCAGCGCTGAGCCGGAGTCGTGTTTCGGTAGCGGGTGGGCTTGGAGAAACAAATTTTGTGCCCGAGGAAAACCGTTCCCTTAATGGATTCTCGTTATGAGTAAATCAGTGGCCGCTTACTCTGTTCAGCCTGATCACCAGCTTCACAGAACGGTTTTTTTGTTGTTGTTGTTTTTAACAATGCCTTTTTTTTTTTTTTTAATATGATTTATTACTTGTAGTCACCATTTTGGGTCGTCTTGCTGGCTGCTTCAGAAGCCAAAGTCTGCTCGTGCTTTTGGGGCTTTAGAATGCTTTAAACCACCTTTGTGTATGACCAGTTCTTGTTATAGACCTGAGTTAATTAATTTCTTGGCATAAACATTTTGAAGAAAGACCTAATGAAACTGTCATTTAGGTTTGCCTCTTCCGTGACATGGCATCACTTGCTGAACAGCGGAACAATAGGAAGTAGGGAGCAGGAGAAACGGGAGAGGCAAGGGTTGTTCTGTAGCAGGTTCCAAATTTTGAATTGCATCTTGTCTTTCACTTAAAGTCTCACCGCAGTGGTGCTCTCCATGCTGTCATTCAAATAAGGTGCATTTCAAAATTCTGGCTATTATTTTTACATTGGATAAATAAACTTCTGAAGCAGGCAGTGGTCAGTCATGGCCAAAATACAATCTGGTTGTGTTTACATAAGCTTTTGATTCTAGAAAGAAATGCTCTGGCTATTACCTAGAGAACAGCTGTAGTGAAAATGGTTGCACCTTGTCTTGTCTCCGTCTTAAACATGCTGATATTAATTGCAGCACAGTTACTTCAGCCTGAATTTTCTTTGATGGTAGGAGTCAGGTAACTGCTTTTTTGCACAACTGTTATATTTGGATCTTTCCAGCTGTTCATAGGAAAAAAAATCTTATCTTGCCCAAATTCTTTCTATTCTGGGAGGGCCAGAGTTAAAAAAAAAACTGTTGTAAGTGTGATAAGCTGTTGCCTCAAGTCTCCTTATATGCTGGCACCAATGCTGCTGATACAGCCAGCCCTGGTTTCTGTGCCCATACAGAGATCTGTAATAGGAAAAATAAGTCGAGGTACTGAAAGATACAGCTACATTTCTAATGTTTATGTCAGGCAGCTTTGCAGCTCTTCAGCATGTTGGACTGCAGCAATGTGTAGGGAATTCAGCGTCTCATACTGCTGAAATATTTCTGGTGAAATTATCTGTCTGCTTGATGTTGTTTGGGAGAGAGTGTTTGAAAATGCTGCTGTTTTGAGAAATTACAGGAAAAAATGGAATTGTTTGCTTTAAAAATGGATAGTTGCTCAAACGTGGTTTTACAGTAGCATGTATATGTTTTTAAATCTACACTCTTGTTGATGAGTGGGGAACGGTATTTGATTAAAGTTTGGGGAAAAAAATATGAGCAATGTATATTGTCTCCTTTTTTCTTTGTTGTTCATTTAGTGCCTTGTTTCCAATCCCTTTCCATAATACTTCCCATTTGCCTTTCTGATTTCTGAAAACTTTTTGTTTTAGATAGCCTGTGTAATTGCCCTTGGACAGTCACTAAAATATGTAAGATAGAAGCCTCCAAAGATGCTTTTGTAGCTTGTAATACATTTGTACATATGTGATCTTAAATTACAAGGGTGGAATTAGGATTGAAGTTGAAGGTTTTGTTTACATCCTTTTATCCAGAGGGAATCAGTTAAATCAAAGAAGCAAATAATATTTAGTAATAACATTTAATGTTCCTGAAGCTGTAGTAATAGATGAATGGATGTTATGTCCTGTGGTGGGGAGTACCTGCAACAGAGTTCAGTATTTGTTTATTAGTACGTGCATGTATTCAGAAAATACTCTTGCATTGTTTTAGTGTTCCCTAAATGGTAAGTAGTGATGGATCAATAGTTTTTTAGTTGTTTCTGGAGTCTATACAGCTCAAACTTTCTTTTTTTATATTTCCCTTGAGCTTACCAGCATTCTTTAAACTTTGCTACATTATTCTAATTCTTAGTTTAAATAGCACAAATCTTCTAAGATATGCATGGTAATTTTTAGAGTACTTTGTAGAGTGGCACACAGGACTGCAGATATTTTGTTAACAATATTGGTTCAGCTTTTTCTTAAAGACATTTTCTACTATGGATGACTAAGAGCTAGAAGGATCATAAAAAATAACTAAATTTTAGTAATTCAGTTTGTGCAAATGTATCTTCTAAGGCCCTTGGTGATAAAACCCAGTTAAAGAATACTAGGAGCAGTACAACTGCAGTCTTCACCTCCTTTTTTTTTTATTTTACTGCTTTACAGGTTTTACAGCTGCCTCTGAGGTGCAGTAAGGCAATTGAAAACTAGATAGCAGCTGTGTATCCTAGTTCTAGGAAGAAAATTGCATCATTGGAACTACATAAGAATATTTTGGAGGACAATGTTTCAGGAATCTTGATGGAGTGAGAATCCTTCTAATGAAGGTGTCCTGTAGTATGTGTGCTGGTGACCAGATGGGAGTGTAACCAGGGTTTCTTTCATGCCTTGCTCCAAGAAAAAAGCCCGTCTAGCCCTGCAGTGCACTTTGCCACAAGGTGAGGCTTGGGGTCTCGACTGGTCCATCTCAGAGGATCACAGGCACAGCTCCATGGACATTTCTCACATATTAACTGCCAAACCTGACCCAACTGAGCACCAAATCAGCTGAGTGACAATGTCAGGCATCATATTGAGCTCTGTCAGATGCACTGCCTGCAGCAAAATGGTATTCTGGAGTTTTTATTTTAATCTCTTCTATTTTAAGTTTGTGGTCTGTCTAGGTGGTTCAATCTTCCTGGCTTTTTATTGAATGGTGGTGTCTTTTTCATCAGTGCAGTACCTGCAGTGGGCTCTAAAACCTGCTTAGAGGAAAATCTGAGTTGATGGGGTTTATTCTTATAGTAGAAAGGTGTACAAAGAAGCATTTGACTCTAATGGGGTTTATTTTTATAGCAGAAAGGTGTACAAGAAGGCATTTGACTCTAATGGCGTACACTGGGAAGGGAACACAGGCATGGCATGTTAAGCATCAGTCTTCAGATAAAGGAACTGTTGCTCATCTCTAGTGTTTGTAGGATACTTCACCTTTTTTTTTTTTTTTTTGGTCCAGAAAATGTCAGTTTTTTCCTGCATAAAAGTTGCCTTATGTGCCATTTGGGTGCTCCCTCAGGAATGCTGCTCGACCCTGCTGTGAAATGTGCCTATTTCACTTACGCTGGACTTGGAAAATATGCCAGCAGGTTTTGTTTGGTGAACTGGCATGCAGATCTACTGCTTTTACTTTTTTCTCTGCAGCTCCCTAGGAGCTGAGTGCCAGTCACTGGCAGACTGAGGTGGCAGGACACTGGGGTCTCTCGTGCAAGCCTGGCTGCCCAGCTTGTGCAGCACAGGAGGTACAGCCTGTCCTGGGGCTGGCACCATGTGCTGGGCACGTGGTCATGTCAAAGCCGCATTCCCAGGCTTACTGGGATTGGTCTTCCACTGCTTTCTTGGCTCTCCTCTCCCTTTTTATGGTACAGCTATAGTCAGAAATCTGAGAGAAAAGCCTATTCTGTGGAGGAAGGCTGACTGTTTCAGTGGCAATTTGGAGTGTTTCTAAATAATAATTTTTCCTGTTTATTGCATGTGATTTGGATGAGAATAATAAACTATTGAATGTCCCTGTTAGACAGTACCTAACTTTTTAATTACAACAGAAAAAAATTATAATTGAAGGTCTTGAACTGTAAAAATGTCCCCTGGTGCTTTATTGAAAGCTTTTGTAATCTCTGAAAGAGACTTGAGTGGTGAGACTGAAGGTGGGAAGCCAGTGCTAAGCGAACTGGTGCTGTCCTAGTTGTTGTCAGGAACTCTGAGAAGTGATGTTGGTCCCAAACGCAAGTGGGATTGGACTTTTTTTTTGTGTGTGTGTGTAATTTCAGCATTTAGAGTTCTGTGTTGGAAGTATTGCTGTAGGTAGGGGAACAGATTATTTAATTTGAACCTACTGACACATTGTAATTGGCATTATGAAAATACAACTTGCATGCTTCAAGCAGTCAAATCTAATCTCCTTCTTTTCTCCCCTTGAGGATCTGTATAAGTTGTAAAAGAAGCAGAATGGTGGAAATCTAGTAGATGTCCAGTCAGTTTTTGGGTTGCATAATCTCTAATATGACATGTCATAGTTTCTACCTACCAATTAAAAGGATATTGTAAGACTTTGGATTCTCTCTCAAACTCTTGTATAAAGAGAAACTGAAGGGATGGGGAATATTTGTCTTGGAAAACAGAGAAGGCAGAACCGTTTAAGTTAGATAAAATAATGAATGGGTTGTGTAATGTGCAAGATTCTTTTTCTATTCTTGTTTCACAGCATTTGAAGATGGATGACCTGGAATGTTTTCGGAAAACATAAAATATTTTAACGCAGTGTAGATAAACTGCGTAACCTGTAGTTGAATGGAAAAGATAACAGCATAGTGTCTGTTCTATAATGTTGTCAAAAGCAGTCACTTCTGACCATCGTTACATGTTCTGACTGTTGTAACTGTGAAGTTAAGATGCTCTCTTAGAGGTCAGGCCAAGTTCTGTAGTGGGTGCAGAAGAGCCTGCTTTTCCTTGCTTCAGGAATTCTGAGTTTTGATGCTGGTTTTTTTTTTTTTTTTTTGTTTTGTTTTTTTTTTTGTTTTTTTTTTTTTTTTTGTTTTGTTTTTTTTTTTTGTTTTTTTAAACACTAAACCACTTTCTAGCCCTTCATAAGGTGGTTAGGAGATTAGTTTCAGTTTGTCTGTGTTTGTGAGTGTGTATTGATTGAGTTA